TTCCCCTCTCAAAAAGGAGGTCAGAGGTCAATGGAATAGTGGAAAAAGTATGAGAAACAAGTTTTACTTCATGTGTCGCAAAGCCAATGTTTCTTTACGCAAACGTGTCGGACACTATACAGGAGAGAAAAGCATAAAACTCAGAAGGTAACAAGACATTTAAGTTTCCACTTATATAAAACAACCTGCAAATCTTTTCCAAGGCACAAATGTCGCCCGATGCTGTGGTTAGAGGGGAAAATGCAAAAAAATCCTCTCACAGCAGGAAATCTCCACTGAAGCGACTGTAAATGTTACATTAGATTATTTGCAATTGTTGTCTGGAAGCTGGGCTGAGTCACTCAACTCAACTTCTCGTCCAGACGAGTTGTGACCTCATGAGAGCAGAATTTTTACTGACTTTACCTTGTTAGTGGTGTAGCTGTCCCACACAATCAGCTTCCCGTCCTGAGAGGCACTAACCAGAAGCCTGCAGAAGCAACAGAAAGCAAAGGTTTGGAAACACAAATCTAGATAAATCCCAGTCTGGATGTTGGATCACAGCTACCCCAGTATTTACTCATGACTACATCAGACCTGCTATTGTTAAAACCTCCATGTTTTAATCACCCGTCTTCCTCCCTTACACAATGCACATATTTGGGTTTTGCCAATTTTTCATCGCAGTGAAATACTTCAGATTATCAAACCAATTTTTTACAAACGATCTGAACAATTGCAAAAAGCAGTTTTTTTTTCTTTTGAAAATGTTTTTGCCCTATCCTAAAACGTAACTGCCTCTGTTGTTAAATCATAAATCAACTGTGATAACGATCATAATTTAGCCATGTCTGATTACTGCGAGATCCGGACAATCCAAATAAGCTCAACCCTAAGCCAGTCTTGAGGCATAACACACAATTTTAGATGTTTAGGTGCAAATTTACATCTGAATGACTCAAAAAAAAAGACCCAAAAATGAAAGTTTTGATATCTCCCAGGTCCAGACTATAGAGATTCAGAGATGTGCTGTTCAAAAACATCTAGTGTGGCTGAATTGAAACAATTTCGCTAAGAAAAGAATGTGCAGAACGTGGAAGGTGTCTGTATTGGAGTCCCACTTTGAGTCTGTTGCCCAGTGCATGGCGTAGATCTTGGCCAGGTGTCCACGAAGGGTGCGTCTTGTCCGCATCTGGATCCGGCCAACGGGATCTAAACTAGCAGCCATCTAAAAGAGAAAACAAGATTTCCGTGAGCTTTATTTTGTTGGGTTTAATTATGATGTTTGCTTATAAACTCATTACAATTATCACGTTAACAGTTTGTTTGGCAGTGACTGCGGGATCAGTAGGTAGTTTTCTTGCAGTCTGAAAATTGTAGGTTCGATTCCAGTTTCCTCTTGCCACACGTTGAAGGAACTTCAAGAAAATCACCATATGAATTCGGTCCAGTTACCATTTAGTGGGCCGGGTTCTCAGTGCCGTTTACCTGGGTGAGTGTTGAATCGCCACAAGCTTTCCTGGCATCCTAATGAGCACAGCATCACAGGAGAGGACAAGACAGGACGTCGCACTTTAAGATTGAGTTTCTTTTTATCTTAAAGTGGAACTTCTTTGCTCTCAAATTATGACTTACCCTTATCTGGTTCCTCAGCTGCTCGGCCTCCTGACGAAGCTGCTCCAGCTCGCTCATTTTGTATGTTTTCCTAGCTTTAACCTGTTGGTTAGAGAACAACTGTACTTTCATAAAACATTGCCTTTAATACGATCAAAGGTGTTTCAGGGTAGCGACAGCTGATGACCGTTTGCTTATGTCCGCTGAGCTTCCTGCCTGGCGACAGCTGAGGCTGGTTCAAAGCCAGCCTTCCCTTTCCCACCCCTAAGAGGAGATAAGCAGGTATACTCTGACCGTGCATATGATTAAATCCCATCTGGGATATGCGTAGTTCAATATTCTCTTAATCCGGTAATCCAGTGGTCATCTTAATCAAATATCAAACAATTAGAATTTTAAAAATAATCTTTACTTAAAGCACTTTTTGCACCCAATTTGTGGATATAAATACTCAAATCGAAGCACACACTTTAATCTCTGAGGTTTACCGAAGCCACTGTGAGGAAAACACTTGTAATCTGTTTATGAGGGCAAAACCATGTCTGGTTTAACAGGGGAGAATAATCTGTAATGACTAAGCTACTACTCAGCTGCCAGTTTCATTACCAGGCAACAGATAAATGGTGAACGTTCCCTTTGAAGCGCACAGGTCAGTCAGACCTCATGATAATCCTGGTCTCCCGCCATAGGAGAGACCCTCCATCAACATACAGTAAACGCCACTTCATCTCTTCAACAATGGTGGCGTTTTTAAACTGGCTAACATCGTCCCTGTCAGAGCCAGCCCAAGGCAAACGGTCCTCCAGGCCAGCAGGGGGCGCCCACAATGTTTAGCTTCTCACAGAAACGATGTACCTTGAAACTTCCTACTTGCAGCTACATTTACTACGAATGGATTTAGCTTTAAATTCAATTTCAATATTTAAAGAAATGTAAAATATTTTAAATTGACAACGTGGAAACTTTACTCACTGGTAAAAGTTGTTTACGCATGTTTTCAACCAAAATTAATTAAGCCGGCCGCTGAGTCTGCATTGAAACACTTCAGAGGTGTGACTTTTAGATCCAACTATTAGCTTTATTAGACGAGGAGAGAAGACGAGTTCAGTGTTTTAGGGGAAGGTAAGGATATTACGGGATTTTTTAAAAATAATTATCATGCAACCTTGCTGTAACCCTATTAATGGTTTGTACATAGATGTTCAAAAAGTGGCAAAAACTTCTTCTGGATGAGAATTTTTCATTTTGTCAAAGAAAAATATGAAAATTCCTGTCTTCCTTCAAAGTGTCAAACATAGACACTTGGTATCAAGCATGAGGCGACTACTTAATGCTTTGCTGGGTAAATTTGACTTAAACGGAGAAGTACTGTGCCATTTAGACACCATGAGATCTGGTGGCCCATCTAAAATATACCACGAGTATATTTTTAGAAATAACATTGTTTCCTTTGCTTACTTTCTGGTATTTATTTAATAAATACTGCTACATGAATGCTGTGACGGTCAAGAAGGAACACATTCAGTGATGTGTTTAATTTAAGTAAAGGTGAAACTCGGTTGATGTTGTTGCTGTTGCTATGGTTACTGAGGGGCGATGAGCTTCACTCAGAGGTCGCTTATTCATTTTACCAAATAAGTAACTGTGTTAGTTTAGGATCAGTTAATTGGCTGAGCTCAATTTGCCCTAAAATGTATTTCATGATGCGTTCCTGTGTCGTCAATAAAGTGTGAAAGGCCATTATTTTTATTTTACTGTAATATTTGGGTTTTAGAAAAACTTTGTCAGGTCGCCTGAGACTCCACCCAACAGACCGAATATCTTGTTAGGCGTATAATGTGTATGAAAATGAAGGTACTAAAGTACTACATGCCAAGACATGCATATATAGGCCTGTCAGAATAAATCAATTAATTGGATGATAAATTAAAGGCAGCACAATAATTTCCATTTGTATGATTTATTGTTTTTCTCTTTTCTCTCTTTTTCCACCTAAAACTGGATAATAAAAGTCTTCAGTCTGGTGCTTTGGTCTCAATGAGCTCTTTTTTGATGGACATTTCTGAGACTTCATAATTCATCTTATTTCTTGTTTTGTTTATTCATTTTGGATATTTAAAATGTCTTAAATCTGCAGCACTACATGTTCATTAGAATTTAAAGTTTATTGATCTTTAAAAATGCATTCTTGCATTGTTATGCCATTACCATTAGTTTTTTTTTTGACAATTGTCTCAAAACAACATTTTTGTTTATCGCAAAACCTCATGGGACGACTTATCAGTTATCATGACAGGCTTAGTTATGCTTTGCTATCCAGTTATCATAAAGTATTCAGTGTCGAGAGTTTTTCTCAGGCCTTTTGTGTCACAGTTATTTTTTTATGTACTGTTTGCTTTTATGCTCCAACAGCTAACCCTAGCTAGTCTTACAAATTACATCCACAAATTGTTAAATAATGTTTGTGATCTTTTGCGCAGCTGCTAACACAAAGAGAATTTGGACAGGATTTCTACTGCACGTGCACCAACCAGTCATAACTTTTTAAGACACTGAGGACATGGTTAGGCTTACGGATCTGTAAAGTGGTTTAGGGGGTCTGCTGTTGTACCCTGTAAATGCTTTTATTTTGGAAAAAAAAAAAGAAACATCTTTACTCCATTTGGGTCAAATGGAGTAAACCTAAGACTCAACAAAGACCCCACATTCTGAACTCCTTTCCGGTTCATGCAAGACATTATTTTCAGCCGTCCCAGTTCTCTTGACCGTGCATATGATCACCAACAATACATAATTTTCAGATTTATCAGTGTGGCTTGTATTTAAGGTTAGGTTTAAGCATTGAAGCAAAAGATTTATGAAGTGGGAAAGAAAGAGTGGGGTGCCTGAGTGTCACGATGCCTACACCTGAATACTGCTCAAATGAACACTTTTCATGACTAGTATTAGATTTTTTTTTTATTGATGTCAATAGAAAATATTAATACCCAGATGTGACCCAATGACCTTAAGATGTACAGGCCTGGCCCAGCTGGGCCCCAAATACAGCATTCCTTACAGCTCCGGTACCATCTTCCTCCAGCTCTGCTCCACACTTTACATACATGCAACCACCCAGAATACGAGAGCCCCACACAACAAAGTACCAACACTGCAAGGAAGAGCATTTAGCTATAGTAGACTACATTTCCCTGGAGGGGCCTGCGACCAGATGGATCACACAGCACTAATGGAAGCCAATGGAGGGTGCATCATAGGTCTCAGTCTCCTGGCACAGCTGCTCGTTTAGCCAATGAAGAGAAGAAAGACTCAGGGAGGAGGTAGAGGAGGAACACATCAGAGATCAGGCCTGGCTGACTCCAGCCAGATGCTCTGTGTGTGCGTGAGTGAGCGTGTGTGTGTTAGCTGCTCGCGAGCGTCAACCGGCCGACGGATCACGGTGAAGCTGCGCTGCAGATTCCTCCTGTGCTGATGCATTGCTGAGCAGCACAGAGGAGGCTTTACCTCCCTCGGCTGTCTCGCCTGTGAGAGCATGCCGTACACCCAACACAAGATGACAGGAATTCAGAGATCTTGAGGGGACCCCACCCCTCTGGGTGCACTGATCTGATGCTGGACTAACAGGGTGGTCACATCTGCAGCTGGAGAGCAGAGCAGTGCAGATCCTTTTGACTGCTGCTTGTCTGATGGACCAGATGTAAAGGTCTAAGGATGTGTATGCAGCAGCAGCATGCAGATGCAGGCCAGAAATAAAAATCTAACAGGAGAGAAACAGCCGCTCTTCATGGGGAATGTATCTGGATGCATCAGCACTGCATCTCTCTCTCTCCGTTATATGTAACCTCTCTATGCCTTTTATATCTATCTGAAAACGTCAAACACGAATCTACCTGCAATCATTTGGCCATAGCCCACATGTGATCGAAAATAATCTGCCCAGCCATCTTAATGCAGGCTGCTGACCCACGGCGTTCAATAAAGGGTGGCTACCTGTTAATTCTCCCGATGGGCTTCAAAAAACACTCAGAGCGACGTCTCCGAAATGCCGTGAAGGGTTGAAATACGTGTCTTTTTCACGCATTAAAGATGCAGTTCGGGGACGATCCTTCTTTAAAAAGTTCCGTGTTATCACGATCAGTGAACAGGCAAACGCAGGAGGGCTCCACACATTTCCATTTCTCCGCTTTTGGTGGAGCTCCAGGAAAAAAAAAGAAAAAACTAGATATAGGAACTGATCAAATCTGCTGCCGCTTTTTTTCTTACTTTCTTTCCTCTCTTTTTTGCCCCTTTTCTGCTGACGGCGTCGCACCTTTTCACGTTCGGAAGGTTAGGAAAAACATTTTTTGTCTAATGTAAGCGGGGAGGGGAAATCAAAAGAACTAGCTCCAGTTTTTCCTTTCTCTGGCCCGCATCAAGGATCGTCCATTAACCGCTGCTCTGCCCGTTTTACTCCGTGTCTTCGTGACGTTATCCCCGTTTCCTTCCTCCCTCTGGTTGCCTCCTCCCTCCCTCTTCCGACACTCCAGCAGGACAGCTGCTCAGACCCGAAGCACCGACGGAAAATCTGCAAACCGCTACCTATGAACAATAAGGTGAAAAAATCCTTGCAGCAATATATCAATACGTCTCGTTTCACGTAGTCTTTTTCCTATCAGGAGAAACGAGCAGACCTCCTGAAATCAATAAGACTTCCTGACACAAAGACTTGAAGAGAGAAAAAATAAAGACCAAAAAAAAAAAAAAAAAGGAGGGGGGGAGGGACAATCCACACTATGCATTTTACACATTTAATGTAAATAAAACTGAAAAGCTTAGCTGTTCATGTACTCATTTGTATATTACCCTTGAGAAAATATTTGAAACATAATTAAATAATTATGATTTTAATATTTTAATAGCTACAATGAAAATTATACATGGTTTCTGAATTCTGACTTGAATTTTGATTTGGCCTCATGCTTGTGTCAACGTTTTTGCAGCGACTAGCTTTTGTCGTTATGTGGGATTGACTAATACCAGCTTCATCTGAATTACTGTTGTCCATTCCCCCCAAACAACACAAGTTTAGTCATTCAGTCAGACTGACTGACTGGAGCGAGTCCGTGCAGATCAGTTTTCAAATCTTTCCATGGATTTATCCCTCGACTTTGACTAGACCATTCTCACTCTCACTATATGTTTGGAGATGTTGTCCTGCTGATGCTGCTGCCACCACCGTGTTGTACTGTGGGGATGGTGTGTTCACGATGTGCTGTGTTGGTTTCCTACCACAAATGGACCATTTTTGGTCCAGCTACATGCTTTGAAACACTCAAAGACCCAAGATCCCAAGACAGTTCATCCTTAGCACCTACTGTATAAGAACCCTGTGGGTCAGAGTTAAGATCTGCAGTTGCTCATTTGGTCAGGCAAATTCAATAATACTGTGTGGCTAAAGATCAGCTGAATGAATTGAAAGGCCGGGTTACTTGACCAGTGAATTCTGTCTTCCCTGATGGTTTGTCCATATTCCAAGATGGCAGTGTTAGAGTCTATCACATTCAAAGTGTGCCAGAGTGGCCCAAGGAGTCAATGAGAGCGATTCTGGATGGAAATACATGTAAAAATAACCGTACAGCAAATAGATTTAAAGTCAAATATGACCACAACTAAAGTTGTTTGATTACAGACTGAAGTGTAAATGTGATCAAGCTTTTCCTCTGGCAGGCCCAAAATTATAAATTACAAAGTAGATGCTGCTCGGACAAGTTTCAGATCCCTTGAAACTTATATTTTCATCTACTGTTAATCTGTTTTATTTTTCTTAAGCATGTTTCTTGTTTTTATTTAATCCAATGTTTTATGGATAGTTTTTTTTTGTTGTCTTGAAGGTATTATTTGTGTTTCGTGTCACTTGATTATTCTGTTTGTCTTTTAGTTTAGTGTTTCCTAGTCTTTGTGTTTGTATCTCCACAGAACATTCCTTGCTCAAAATGAAGAAAAGTAAAATAATTTATTCAGCTCGACTATGAAGCACTTGGTTGTTTTCATTTGTGCTATGGACATAAACTTATCTCTGACGTTGGTATTTGGATTTCGGGAATAACTTACATGGTTTTTGATAATGAAATGAGGATTAAAAAACAAAACTGAGGAACCCCATGTGCTCATCTTGAATGAAATAATTATAGAATGTTGAATAGCATTACAACTTTTAAAGTAATAGTTACAAAATAATAGATTTTAAGAAAAGTTTAAAGATTCCGTTTACAGGGATCAGTGCATGTTACTGTACAGTGACCTCTTGTGGTGATAAAGAAAAATGCACATTTTTTAGGGGCGGGGTTAGGTTCCATCAGCAGTACCTTGGCTGGTGTTTGAGATGTTTTCGTCCTCCCCTTCGGATGTCACATGGGCACCCGTCTCTGCGCTCCCGTGACTCTTTGTAACAAATAACAGGGGGAACGAGGCGTGACGGGGCAGATGTGTTGTTATTGGGCAGCACATTTCACACAGCATCCCGCTGTCCGGAGGTAACTCCGAGCCCCTTCCTGTCACCGGCCTGTCGTGGTCGCCGTCTGCCTGCCAGAGCGTCACCTCGACGCCACCGAGCAGCGCGCGCACACCGGCATCAGCGGCGGAGCCCCGAAATCAGCAGCTAACAGCCAGGAAGTGGATGAAGCTGAGCGGTAAGCCTGCTTAGACGTTTATTTTATGAGACCTCTGCGGATGTTCCAGGGTGCAAACATCCAGCATGCTGTTGTCTGACTGGGAAATTGTCCCATTAGAGCAGCGGTAACTTCTTGACCTTCACTTCTGAAGCGTAAACAAGACGTCAAGTGTCTTCATTGCATCTTTTCGCCCTCTTAAAATGCGTTAACTTTTTTTTTTTAAATTAAATTTATGCCGCAGTCGCTCCACCTTCACGCAACGTCTCTTACGTGACGGAAGCGTTGTTTTATTTTGGTAAGTTGAAGAGGAGCTCGCTGAGGTACAGAGGGCCTTCAGATAGATGTGGTCTGTCTGCAGCTGCATCATAAGCTCAGTGCGTCACTAACAGCCTCCTGCGGAGCATGCAACCCAGCAACATCACACTACAGGGAAGGAAACGCAAGAAGACCTTTCTGCCTATAACTTCCCCTTTGAAACGATATAGGTCATAGTGAGGAAGAGAGCCTCAGTTCACGAACAACACAAAAAACTGAATGTAAATGGATAAAGGTCACTGCATAAGAAGCTCTCATAGCTCCCATTGTAAAATTACAGTTATTTATGGCATCCCTTTTTGAAAACCTTAAATAAACTCATCTTTCATTAGAGGAGCAAAGTATAACACTGAAGATGTAGAATCAAACTTTGGATTGAGTCCATTTATTAACGATGAGAAATAATTGCTATTGTTAAAATTACTAGTTCTGCTGTCTATACGTTGCCTAATGCCCATTTGAGCTGCATCTATGTTTCTCCTTTAACATTCCCAAAGGCTGGAGCATTTGGAGAGAAAGGGAGATCTTTGACCATTCATCTAAGCATAATATCTCAAAATCCGAGTCCTGGGTTCTGTCTAATGTTCTCTTCTCTTCAGCTAAATCCAGTTTCTTTTCTTTTGTAGGATTCTGGAGACATAGACAGCTGTGGAAGAAGAGAAATGTTCTCTCTGTATGTTTTCGGGGTTTTATCCTGCTGAAAAAAACACTTCTGAAACATTTTCAGTCTTTTTTTTTTTACCAGACTTTTTGGTTGTTAAACTATTTTATTTAGCTTGAAAAACAGTTTTTTTTTCAATATATCTATTCTAAACATTATGAAGCGATAAAGACGGTGTCTCAGTTGTCCCTAAAGCAAACAGGAAGACTGTTATCAGAGAGATTACACACTCTTCACGACCGGCTCTGCTTATCCCATCATGTGATTCCTTTAGCTGAGCAACTCATTGAGCATTTCACCTGATCGTAAAGGGTAACCTTCAGAAAAAAAAAAAAAAAAAATGAGTGAGTTAAAGGACATCCGAGGCGTGGCGCTCTGCTGAGGTGATCTCTTTCTGGTTTAAGCTGCATGTGAAAACAAGCAAGCTGCTGCGAATCAGATGACTGCGAATACCAAACCTCAAGTGTAAGCGGAAGACTTTATTAAGAAGCGTGACATGAAAGCTTGACTCGCAGGTTCTCCTTTGGGGTCTATCAAGGGCAGTACGCAATATCTTGTGCAACAAATTGCTTTAAAGTTCAAGATATGAACACATGTGAGGATATTTTAAACACCGGAGTGCAGTGACTGTCATGAGGAGCGCTCCTCAAAAGAGGAACTGCTGTGACAAAATGTTTCTACTGGACAAAAGAATTTAGTAATTTAAGGTGTTTATTTTACTACCGAGCAAACGACATTTCATAAAATGGTAAAACATCTATTTGTTTGTCATCAGCTATTAAACTATACAGAACCATGCTGTTGTAAATTCAATTAATGCATACTGTATTGTTAATGAATTACTAAACTAATCCTACATCTTTTAAGGCTTTCACGTTTTTATCATGCTCCAGTCGATGGTATCCATGGATTTTATTTGGATTTTTGAGATAAATCAACAGCAAGTAATGAGTGGATGAATGTGAGTAAGAAGGAAAGAATGCATGGGTTACAGGTTTTTGTTTTTGCAAAAGGAAAAAGAAAAAAGAACTACCTTTTGATGCAGCTATAGGTCTCAAGCAGCTTTGCATATCTTGGGAGTAGAAAGTGAAGTTTTTGCCTATTCTTCTTTGCAAAATATTTCAATTTCAGTCAAACTGGATGGAGTTTAACTAAACAAAAAATCACATTTAACATCATATATTAGTGCAAATATGATGCACTAATATTTTAGCACTACAAAATCTGTGATTTTGATTAAAAAACAATCAGAATCCTGGAGGGACAACTATTGATTCATAATTTACCAGTTTAATGGGTTTTATCAATCCATTCTGGTGCAACCAGCCCTTTAAGAACATCCATATTTTTGTTATGGCCCAAAATAAAACTGAATTTGATCTACATGGAGACCAAAAATGGGTTGTGTGAAATACTAGTTTCACACAACCCTGAACACACCATTCCCACTTTTAGCCATGGTGATGGCTGCATCATGCTGTGGGAATGCTTTTCTTCAGCAGGAATGGGGAAGCTAGGAAGTTGGTGTGAGGAACATCACAGTCATACACTAGTGTGTGCTCCTCTGTCAGATGAAACCCCAACGAACGAGGCTTGTGGCTGCAATGTGATTACTTTTCCAAGCCATTGTAGAGAACCTTTAATCTTCAGATGAGTAAATTTATACTATATGCTAATAAAAAGCAACATGTACCAAAGTCTAAACTGCTCCCCTTAAGGGCTTTTAGCCAGATGCTGTTTTAATTTTGTCCAGTTACTTGAGTTTTTTTTCTTTTTTTTCTGAATCTTGTTTATATTTTTCTCTTCGTTGCATGGCAGCATTTTATTTCTTTTTATTAAATGTATCTTGAGACCGAACAATGAACACTGTTCACTGACTGCGATGTTCTGATATCCTGCAGCCCATGAAGAGATTCCCATCACAGACCCATGTCTGCTTTTAATGCTGTGCCTCCTCAGGGCACAATGATCACAGCTGTTCGGTATTTATCCATCTGACTTCCCCGCAGATATTTTTTTTTTGCACTCAGAATCTTGTTGCAGTATCTCTTTCACTAATTGTTAATCTTTTTTT